AAGCATCGTCTGGGCATCCAAACACCATCAGCAATGCCACAGGCTGATTGCCTCCATGCCACGCCGCATTGATGCAGTAATACCGTGCAAAAGGATTCCCAACCAAGTCTCGAGTGCATTAATGACATTTTCAATGTTTGATTGTAGTTTTGCGTTATAAAATCTTTTTTTTAATACTACTTGGTCTGAGGAACTATCTAATTTTTTTGAGATAGGACTTTTTGAGTTTTCCTAAGCTGTCATGCCAATAATGCAGCAATATTAAAATAATAAAACGGCCTTTGCAATATTTTCAGTTGATTTGTAATGAATCCAGAATGTATGACCATCCTTTTGTTTTTTTAATTGCATTACAGAAAATAAAGAACTTTATCACCAAATATCTAATTTTCTGAGACCAGTCCTGTATATGCCACTTCTCAAACAACTTCTGTAGTGTAATAAAAAGTCCTTATTTTTAACTTGTATGCTTCTTCTTCCTCCCGCACACATGAAATATTGCTCGAGAGTTGCTAAAAATGTTCTGTCCATGTGATGATTCACTTTTAGGCCACCTCTGAGTGGACAGGAGAGTCAATATACAGATTTTTAATTGCTGCTTCGGGGGTTTTTAACCCACTGGAAATAAAGTTAGGTGGTATTCGCTCCTGTGCTGATCCCACGTCAGAGGTGTGGGAGACATCTGCGTCATGCAGCCCGGCCGCATGTACCCAGCACTGAGGCCTCCTGAGTGGCAGGAGGAATCGGGAGAGAGAGAGCGCCATTTAAGACAATCGGGCCAGTCGTTATTATGACTTACTATCTCATTTGAATAATCCAACTATATTATTGTTATAACCAAATGGTTTCTCTCTTGTGTTACTCTCGTGTGGGGGGCCTTTTCCAGAATTCCCTGCAAAGGCTTTTGCCCATCATCAAAACTCGACTTTCAGGTTTCAGCAAGTCTGACTGTTTCATCATTGCTTAGGAATGACTCTTTAACCAGGTCTCCTGTCTGGTGGTGGCGCATCCATACGTCTCTTCAGTAGTTCTCGTTTAATCTTCATTGTGAATCTAGTTTAACGAAGCGCAAAAATAATGACCAATGTACCGATATTTTGACAAAGTTAGTCCATATTATGAAGACTATTTCAGACGCAGTCAAAATGATGACCATGACTCACGTTCTGATAATCAAATCAAACAAACTTTATTTGTATAATTCCTATATTAAAAAACACGTTTCTGTCTAGGTGGGCTTCACAGATTAAAAACAAACAATAACATTGTATATGATGGAGTTACAGGAAAATGAGAAGGAAAGATAGTGTGTGGAATACAAATAGAAATAAAAATAAAATAAAATAAGAGACAACAAAAGACAATACAAATACATAAAACATTCAAATTAATTACCATCAAAATAAAATAAAATAGCTACAGCTCTAACCCTAGGCTTTGCTAAAAATGTAGGCCTTCAACGCACTCTGATAATAATGAGATATTAAGTTCTGATAATGTCTCATGTATTTCTTCCTCTTGGTGGCGGATATGGAAAAGAGTGAGTTTGGAGCGTGGGGGTTACTGTACGTCTAGCTCTACTATGATCTTGACTGGCATCTTATGGCATTTATCTGATATAGTAGATACTTCCCAGTGTGAAATTGGTTCAGTTTTCAAACACACTCTATGATTCTCAAAGATAGAATACTGAAGGTGTAGTCTATCAGTCAGGGTCAGAATAAGGAGCGAGTGTGAGCCTTTCTTTAATTTGATCGATGCTTCGTTTTGGAGAGCAGCACCAAGTGACATCTGCAACAGCCAGATCTTCTGATAAAATGATCTCATAGCAACCAAATTGCCATGGCAACCTGGATACAGATGCCATGCTGAGGTGATATGCAGAGTGACTGGCTGCCAGACTGACACTTTTTCCAAAAGAAAAAAAAAAAGAATGATTCATCTAGTTTCCATCCCTAAATTATTGTCTATGTACCTCCCACCATTTCCGGCCTTTTCCTCTCAAGCTAATTACTTAAAGTGTTCCGAAAGCAGCCTCCTCTCACCTTGATGGATGCTGCTCTTAAGTAAAGATCCATGAGGTTTGTGAAAGTTCTAAAAGAGATGAATTGCAATTTATTACTTATATGTTCAAACATTAATTAGGTAAAAATACATATTGTCACTTGATTTCTTTATGAATTATTCCATTATGGTTTCCCAGATTAAAAATAAATACATTGGAGAGTCACTATGGAAAGTATGGAATACTAACATCCAGGAACTCTTTATATTATACATATGAGTATTGACTTAAGACAGATGTAAATATGAACCTGTCTTACAAATGCATGAATGTGAAATGAGTCCAGAACTGAACATTGCCCATGTGCTTTTCAAACATTAGTTTAAACGTATATGAACTCATATCAAACTCAAATACCAGTCAAACCCCCACTGGAAATGACTCCTAGGATTCTTTCCATATTATTATTGCTTATGCTGTGTGCACAGTTTGAGAAAGTATGATTGTGTAGTCCATTCTATTTATTATTAGAACAGGCATTGTCCGTTTATTGCTATATGGACTTCCCTTAGGAATTAATATCCACACGGCTCAGACTTGATTATATTAAAAGGCCATGGAGTTCAGTGCAGCTGGGAGGCTCACTGTTTGCATTAACACACACATTCCTGCTGCCAGTCTTTCACCAAATCTGCTGTGATAAAGCTGGAAGGTTTCCCTGAGGGTCATTGAGTATCTTAAATTGTAAAGTGTGTTAGACGTGTCTCTCCGCACAGAAACACTGTCCCATGGTCACAAACCTTGTTTTCTCCATCATATGACTTCAAGGGCTCGCAGTGGAATGGAATGGAGAGTCACGGGGTTAGATGAAGAGATATAATTTCTAGAAGGCATTTCATGTCCTGTCGAGATGTACCTTTTCTCAAACAGCATTACAATCATTTCATGTCATTTCGTAGACAGTACACACTAAAAGGGCTTGGGAGTATTTCTAACATTTGTCAGGTCAGCGGTCTGATTGGGGGGTGTTGAATTGGTAGAATTGAAAAATAACTTGTGCTTTGTAAGTGTAGAAGCCCTTAAACTTACAAAGTGATAGATTTAGTTTTATTACAATTTAGGTTTGTACTAGTTTATATTTATTTTGTATGGGTAATGGTTTGTATTATAATATATTACTGTGGGATCGCAATGAGTTGGTGTGTATGGGTCACATGGATATGGGCTGCACTCATAGGAATTATAATCACCTCTTCACCTGGATGAGGTGTGTGTGTGTGTGTGTGTGTGTGTGGAAGAGAGGGTGAGAGAGGGTCGCTGTACTTTTTTGCAAACTTTACGATTGCTTTGAATATTAATATGATTTTGCTGTTTACGTTGTACTTTAGTCGATCATGTAATTTTTCATTAAATTACACATTTTTTACTGCATTTTTTAACTCAGCAATTCATTTTATGATAGCGCGTCAGACCATTGTACCCAGGCCCGACCTCAGCCTCCCAGGGACTCTGTTTATTTCCCGGAAAGCACTACAGTAAGTGTTCAAACTAATGAGGGGGTGGAGTCCTTAGTGGAAAACAACAAATATCCAGAATAAATGCATACGTAATCAACAGCCGACAGAAAGTACTGAAGTAATGCTATCAAGTCTACTGTTGAAAAATATCGCCATATATCGATTAATACGAATGATTATGTCAAGCAACATGTGTACCTCCATAAAGCCAAATAAACGCCATTCTTCACAAACATCTCAGTTCTAAGTAACAGAATAACTTGTAATTGTTTTAGGTTATGTTATACCTTCACCACCCCTTGTGTTCTCTCAGTTCTCACCCCTTTGCTCCTTTTACACAGGGGCTCCTGATCTGTGGTGGTCTGCGCTCGGCCCTTCCCTCAGGTGATCCTGATCTGACATGATTGCCTGTACATAAGGAAGGCTGGAGGAGAAGGGAGGTATCTGTCTCTTTCTTGTTTTGCTGCAGTGTCCTGGTGTTTTGGTGTTCGTGTAGATATTACACTCAGCTGGAGGGTCCATGTTGAAGCTCTGTGCTCTAGACTTCATTGTATGAGTTCACTCATCATTTTAACCCATCCATTATTTTTTGTTGTCTTTTTAAGGACGGAGGATCTGGTAGTTCAGTTTTCACGGCTTGCTTTCTTAGTTTAGTTTATGCACTGTTTCTCTTAAGTTTCCGGGGGGCTCTGGTCCGAAGGCTTCCTAATTGTTTGGTTATTTTTTGCCATTCCTCTAGGCTAGTTTGATTTAGTTCTTTATGTTTTCTTTCAATGTTTTACAAATACAATTATTTAGTATATCATTTTTTGGGGTTTGGCTTCTCAAATATATGTGGCGGGTGATAAGCTGAGCCATGACGGGCCGTAACAGGTTAACTATGGAAGTGGAATAACTGTCACGATCTGTCTGTGTTTTGTTTTGTCTTGTCTTTTTCTGTCTTTCGTTTTATTTTTGAAAAGTGTTCACCCCCTGTCTTGCCTGTTGCTTTCTGTCTGTGTTCCCTCCTGTCTGATTACCCGATTGTGTTCACCTTGTGCCCCTGTGTTTTCTCCTCCCTCCTCACCTGTCTCTTGTTTCTTTGATTAGCCTTGTGTGTATTTAAGTTCTGGTTTTTCTGTCTGTCATTGTTAGATCCTTGTTTGTCTATGACTGTGTTCACGGGGTAGTGTCCTTTTTTGTCAATTTAACCTTGGAATAAAGGTTTTTTTCTGTGAAATCTGTATTTTGGTCCTGCCTGCTTCACTCAACCCTGACATAAGGAACTAACCAAAGATGGGCCCAGAAGATCCATTTGAGGTGGATTTACTTAATTTGACCTTTTCATTGGCTTGCTGCTATGGTAGGTGGAGGGGAGTGTCCAGGGTTCAGCAGAAAGAGGCTGCTCTGTCAGAGGCGCACCAGGTGGCAACAGAGGAGCCATGTTTAGTGAAGTTCTTACCTGACTGGATTTTGGACTTCCTTTCGACATGTGATTCCCGGCCTGCTAGCCCCAGGCATGCTAGCCCCCTGCCTCCCAATTCCCTACCTGACACCATACGTCTCGGTTTGTTCTGTCTGGAGCAGGCATGGGCAAATTAAGCCATATACGGCCCGTTGGGCTTTTGAATCCGGCCCGCCGAATATTGGTACAAAATTGTCCAAATTATAGTAAAGACCACATTCATTTAGCCTTTTTCCTGCAATACCCGGCATTTCAGTTGATCCCACTAGATGGCGCACTCTAGACACAATTGACCTTTGCTGGAGTCTGGCCTATTCTCTGGCCCCACTCCGCAACCCGGCAAGATCAAAGAACAAAATATTTCACGCTTACATTGGAGAGGGTGAGATTAACCTGAGCAATAACAGTTCATGGCGAGTACGGCGAATACAAGTTGTAACAAGCAGTAGCGCTGAGCAAAGTGACTAGAACGCGACCACACACTTATAAAAAACACTTATATAAAGTCAGGCAACACTAACCAGGCTTAGTGTGATTCTGTTTATTTGACTTTACTTGAATAACCATCCGTTCACTGTTATTGACCATTGTGAAGAGGCAGACGTTTTCCTGTTGTTTTGTATTATTGCAGCTATCGTATGGAATCAATACATGGGCTACATGTGGCCATCACAAGTAAAATCATAACGAAAACTACGCCGGTAAAATATGCGTGTAGAAAACGGCTTATGCCACAATATGATAGCAACAAGTAGTCAAGATAGTCTGATTAGCACCTGTAGAATGCCAGAGAAACGTTCAACAGCGTTGTGATGCCAAACAGCTTTCAGACTAAAACACATTCACTTATGGGGATGGGGGATATTTATCAGCTGCTTGTGACAGTCAGACAATGAAAACTTTACAGCGGCCGCTGCCGCGAGTTAACGGGAGAATAAACTTCGGTAGACGAGCAGCACTGCAGGGGGCTGTAATGCAGCTGAACCACATAAACAATGCACCACGGCACTCTGGAGAAAGGTATAAGGTTGGAGAAGTAGTTCTTTAATTTAATCTGGCTTCGTATAATTAAAAACTACCAGACGCAGTCCTCTATTGATGTTGTTGTGAGCGGTGTTGCGGAGAAAATCAGCGACGTAAAACGCTGTGTGGGTCATAAGAAGGCACGTAAACGGTTACGTCATGACGCAATAAACGTAACGTGTTATGACAGCAAAGTTTCAATCTGTAATGACGCATATTAAGTGTCACTGCGTGCACGTCGCGCAGTCGACTTGCCATGAAACTGATGTGCCTCATCTGGGGAGAATTCAGGGTGTAAACACTGCATCTCGTAGCAGAATACCAACGAAGAGATGGTCCTCTCTGTACAATGCCACAGGAAGATGCTAGATTGCTTTACCCAGAGCAATGACTCGATCCATCTCGACCCTTGTGATGGAGACTCAGGGTTTGGTCCGAACATTTAATTCTACCACTGTGCACATTTTGAAGAATTGATGCCTCTTTTCCTTCCATGAGTTATGCGCAGCACGTGAATGTTGTGCTTGATAGAGTGACAGCTATAATATCAAGGCTTTCTGATAAGCTGAGTTTGCTACACCGGGCATGCCTCGCGTCAAGCAATTCCTTCTCGCGAAACACAGCACCTCAAATGAATTCTGGCCCGGTATATATTTAAAATGGTTTTCTGTTTTCTCCGTTGCGTATACTGCCGTTATGTCACAATATACTGTGTTAAGTGAATTGCAAGACCACCTCTGATGGGCGATGACTCTCAATGCACCCGGAACACGAGAAGCACAGACAGGGAGAAGCAGTTTGTGGGCGCTCTAACCACCCCTGGTCTTTAAAATTGGTCCACTCCACACCAACGCTGGTGGGGGCTGTCTGGAGCTGCATGGGTACCCGATAGCTTCACCTGCCCCTCGGCTGGAGGGGGATAATGGCTCTATGGGGGATCCAGGCTTACCCGGAGGCGCCAACGGTGGCTGCTCACGGCGTCAGGGGCCGCTGTACCCGCACGACACTCCCGCCACTGGAGTCAGGTGTGTCTCCGCAGTGTTGTTTCGAGCCAGGTACTCGATCTGGGGTCCCTCTCTCGCCGAGGTTGAACGCAGCACGGAGCACCCGGCAGCGAGCCTCCAGCAGAAGTAGCGCCCGCGCGACGGAGGGGTGGTCCGCTCCATACAGTGTCGCCCTCGCGAAGAGCGGAGACGGTGGCGTGTCTTTTCATTCTCTGCTGGGCCGCGCTAAGAACGTGTGCACAGAGTGGAGAACGTGGTACTGCGTCGGAGAGCCAGGCCTCAGAGTTGAGTGGCAGT